TTTGTTTTCCCACCGATGTGGGACAAACATTTTGCCAATTTCAACATTGTTGGCAAATGTCTCCTCTGGTGGAAAGAAAGTGAGGTTGTAGATTTGATTCATATTGAGCAGTGAGTTGTCGGTGATAATGCCTAGGTCGCAAATATCGTGGGATATGGTAGTATTGGTGGTGGTGGTGGCGGCATTTGTGGATGCATGTGTTGGTGGAGGTGTGGAATGTGGTTTCCATTTGTACTTGGATATTGAGATGCCAAAGGGTTCGCTGGGGAGGGAGACCTAGAGGAGTTCGCCTCCTATGCAGGGGAATTAATAAGCTTGGCATGAGGAGTTGAGGGGTCTGGTATTAGAGGAGAGGAGTGATTGCTCGTAAGACTAGGAGATGATTGCAAATCTTTTGCGTAGGATTGGGTTTATTGTAATTCTTTGCATGGCCACTTGGCCAGTGATTTTTGCCAAGTGTTTTTGAGTGGAACTATTAACAGGTGAGTTAGAGGCGTGAGCAATGGTTAACGGGACATGAATTGATTGTAATTTGGGACTTTGGGGGATGTCTTTGGTTAAATCAGCAGTGTAATTCTCATTTATGAAAATGTTTATGGGTTTGCAAGGCTGTGATTTGTTTTTAGTGTTTGGGAGTTGTGGCATGTGTGCGCCACTTGTCTGAATGGAAGGAGAAGGGTGCATTGGTTGCATTGAAGGGGTTTCATTGGGGGAACAACAGTTACGCGGAGAAGCTGGAGAATTTTGAATGTCAGTGTGATTTTCAGACTCCTCGTTTTCCTCAGGAAGCCGTGAAAAGCTATTGGTGGAAGAAAGATCAAGCGCTTGGCGACTGATGGATTCATTAGTGGGGAATTAGAGGGACGGTCACTATAGCTATTATTTTTGGATTTATAAACAAGTTTTTAAGTGTTTTAAGTATTTACCTGTATCCGCATCAAAAATACGAACGTTAATACTTGTCGCAAGAGAATAGTTAGTCTTCAGGTTTGCTTCATTTGTTGGCATCCCTTTTGACTTGTAAGTACCAAAAGCTCTGCTCTTGTTAAATTGGACCGTGTGCCATTGTTGTTGTTGTTGTTGTTGTTGTTGTGGGGATGCTGCTTCCCGATGAGGTCCATCTCATTGAAGAAGTATTACGCATGTGCATAATAAAAGTTTTACTTTGGTTTGGTAGTCAATCTTGTTGACTTGGTTTGGTTGGTAGCCAACCTTGTTGAATTAGTTTGGTTTGGTAGCCAACTTTGTTGAATTTCTTTGGTTTGGTAGCCAACTTTGTTGAATTGTGAAAAGTGTGCAAATTGTCAAATATGGTAGGCTTTAGAGAGTGAAGCTTTGGCTATAAAAGGAGAGCTTCAACTCTCATTTCCACACATCAACAAAGAGAGAAAGAAAGAGTGAGGTTTCACAGACAAGGTATAAGAAAATAGTCTGTGAAGAAAATAGAGAGTGTGAGCGATATTGTAGTGAGATGAAATATCAAAAGAGGGTTATTTCTTTTGAGTATTGTAGTAGTCTTTGTAGTATTTTACTCGGGCCTACAAAGTGTAAATTCCTTACTATAGTGATATCAGTTGCTCCTATCGAGGTCGTGGTTTTTTCCCTTATTCAGAAGAGTTTTCCACGTAAAAATCTTGGTGTCATTGTTGCTCTTTTATTCTTGTTAATTACCGTATCTCGGTGCTACATTATTATTCCGCTTTATTACCGTGAATATTATTTTGGCAAGGGGTTTATTCCCAACACTTCCTGCGTGTGATCTGCCTCTGCTTCTTTGTTATTAATAAGGAGTTTATCCGTTGCTACTTCTTATTCGTTGAGTGTGGCCAATGTGTCCACATAGATTATAGAGAAAGTTCTATCCCTTATAAAAAAAATCTCTTGTTTGTGGGAGCCTATGTAGATATGAGATTGTACTGGTTCCTCTAATGATACATTTATGCACATACGTGCGTATCTCCCACGAAGGGTAGAGCTTGTACAAGAATTAATTTTAGAAGGGTACCAATATGGCGACGTCGTAGAATTTTGTGGGCAGTTGTGCTAATCTCACCCAAATAGCAGAGTATGTTTGGCTTTACTGGCCACAAAATTAGATTCCCATTGCTTTATGGAGAGGAAGTGGCCATACAGGAACCACGGTCCATTTTGCAGCACCTTAACCATATTCTCCTCCTTGGAGAATTTGACAATGAAGTAGTCTGATCCTAAGTCGATCAGAGCAAAGTTCTCAGATGCTTTCCATTGTTCTTGTATTTTTGTTTTAGGTGGTGATGGAGGAGACGATTACCAATGACGTTGATGATTAATGAGAATCTCCATGGTGAGTAAATGCGTTGTAGGTCGTCGTCCGTAAGAGAAATTTTCTTAATATCGTTGAAGGTGGTTTAAGTGTTTGTTGGTGTGCCATGTAGTTATTATGTCTGCTAATGCTCTTGATAGTTGCCATTTGTCTAGGGAACGATGTCCATATCAATAAAACCTTCAGTAGCCAGTAAGTTTTCTTTGAAGGAGGTGGTCGGAGTGGCGATGATAATATCTGGAGGGTCAGGTGGTTTTGGAGGTGTAATGATCTGTTGTTGGGGCGATGCGTCGGTGATTGGCTTCATGGTGGTGAAGTTGATGTTGAAGATGAAAGAGGATGTTTACAATAGGATAAAAATAAAATATTTATATCTATCTTCTCAACACATTAATGAAGAATGAAGTTTTCTTAGAGTAACAATTGGCAGCTCAAATTTTGATGGAGTCCTCAGGTAGGGCAATAATGTGAGTTTGTAGGACTTTCTCACGATGAGTATATCGATCTTGATTATTTATATATATGTAAACTTAACAATACGATCAAGACGGAGAATACGAGATAAAAACTTCATAAAGACAGGAGTGGGCCTAAGAATTCGTTCATTAATATTATTCCATGATGCCTCAGCCATTTCTTTAAACTTAGCTATTGCCTCTTTTGTTGATATATCGTCGTATCTCATGCAACACTCAATTCCTGTTGTAATTTGTCCCATACTATTTCCGACCTGGAAAGGTGGATAGATTAGGGGTTAGCTTATCGATTATCATCACAACACTTTGTCCAAATCTCATAAAATTAAATTTCGTGAGATACAACTCAAACCTCGTATGTGATTGTATCATTAATAACTTGACATAAATCACACTAGTTTCAAGAATTTTAGGATTCTTTGACAAAAATAAACTTCTTCCACCCGAGCCTTGTAGCGATCAATAGTCCCATCAGACTTTGACTTTCTCTTGTATAACCACTTGCGAGCCGATACACAAATTTCTAAATCGAATTTAGCAGGACAACCACTCAAAATTCTGCTCCATAGCAGACTTCATGCTCAAATATGATGTTGTTGCGAGAAAGTAAATGTTCAAATCCGACATTTGCCAGCTTGCATGTAAGAAGAAAAGATGAAGAGTTTATACCTGATTTTCAATGGAAACGATCGCCCCAAAGACTAGGAGAGAATTTGGCGACGAGGCGAACGATCTCTTCTTCTTCATGCTTCACAAGATAATTGCCAACTGCAGCTAAGGCCATTGCTAATTTTAGTATTTTTTTCCACAAGATCAAGAGAAGTTTTGGTTCTTGTATATTGGAGAAGAAAGAAACTCTAGGATGAAAGTGAGACGACCCAAATGGAAGAGAAGGCACAAGTATAATTGATATGCCATACTACACATACATCTTGTTTTCTTTCTCTTGTTTAATTTTTTATTTCTTCAGTTGCCTTACTTGAAGTTAGACTATATACAAGCAGCCTTTTTATTTTTATTTTTTTGGCAGTACTCAGCAGCCGTTTGATTTCTTTCATGGCGTCTCTATTGATCCAATATAATAGTATATTTCTTTTTTGTTTTTAAGTTTTCTTACGCTAATTGTTTCTCAAGATAGTAGTTGTGTTGTGGCCTGTGGGACATCATAAATGTTTGCTACACTTTAATTTATGATTTTCGCCAAACAAACAAGTTTGTAAACAGAGGAATAATGCAGTGCATGCTCTAAAATCCTTAAGTAGTTTATTCAACTGCTAATGCTGACTTGTGGATTCTACTTTTATGGCACTCTATTTCTCCTCATCATTCGTGGAAATGCGTCAATCAACCATGGATTTTATGAAGTATTCCAGCTATTCAAAGGGGTTTGGACAATATTTGGGTGAAATTGAAATTTGAAAGTAAATAGTATTTTGAAAACTAAAACTTTATGACATAAATTTCACTCAGTAAAAAAGTTGAAGTTCCGTGCATAAAAATTATTATATCACTTGAAATGAAAACTTGTCACACTTCCTTAGGGAGTACTCCTCTAAATAAATGGTTGTCAATGTTAATTACTAAAACATGTATGTTATACATGCCACTCCATTTGTTTAGTTTAACCATGAGGTATCCGAAGTTCATTGGCACGGCTAATTCAGATATGCGACAGGTAGTCCTAGTAAGGGGTAAAGCTCTCCCAACATTTAGTTCTTTATTCCTAATAGCTTGACTACCAGCTTCTTCCCCATAACCACCTGCAATCACGAATAATTGTGTTATATGTCAGATTTCCTTGTTATAATATTTTAATTAAAAGTTTTCAAATTAAAAAGTTAGCTAAGTGACTCAGCACCAGTTAGTCAGCTATTTTTATTTTTATGTTAGGTGGCGACTCAAAAGTATTTTTTAAAACCCTTTTGAGTTATCAAATTATTGTGGTTCTCAAACTCTCTCGGTAAAAAAACAGCCACAAAGCAGGACCTTGAGTTATCAAATTATCGTGGTTCCCAAATTCTCCAATATTTAATTCCATGATGGCAACTGCACATTTCGTTCGGGTTTTATTCAAGTATTAGTAGTTAGTATCAAATTTCTAGCCGCCAAATTTGAGTCTTTCTGGGCCATACTTTCAGATTACTAGGAAATTTCCCAGCATAGAAAAAAGAATATATTCATATGTTGGCTTCACAATAATTAGTCCACAATACTAATAAATAATTACATCATTATTGCTCTCTAGTCAGCTGAATTATTTTGCCTATGAATAATTAATGGTCAACAGGAAAGTAAACAAAGTCTGCTTCAATGAGATGTTGACAAACAAAAGTTGCAGGAAATATCATATTTGTCTTTCCGTTTCTTGCCAAAACAAATGCCTATAAAAGACCATACGCATCTAGACTTTGAAGAATCATCGAATAATCCTCCATTTATCTCTGAAAATGCAATTCTTCAGCTTGGTTTCCATTTTCCTATTCCTATCTTTCCTATTTTTGTTGAGGAAATGGAAGAACTCCAATAGCCAAAGCAAAAAATTGCCACCAGGTCCATGGAAAATACCAATACTAGGAAGTATGCTTCATATGATTGGTGGAGAACCGCACCATGTCCTTAGAGATTTAGCCAAAAAATATGGACCACTTATGCACCTTCAGTTAGGTGAAATTTCTGCAGTTGTGGTTACTTCTAGGGACATGGCAAAAGAAGTGCTAAAAACTCATGACGTCGTTTTTGCATCTAGGCCTAAAATTGTAGCCATGGACATTATCTGTTATAACCAGTCCGACATTGCCTTTAGCCCTTATGGCGACCACTGGAGACAAATGCGTAAAATTTGTGTCATGGAACTTCTC